ATAATAAAACAAAACTCTACCTTTCTGTTTCCATAAACAGTCTGTTCCAATGTTGATATCGTCACAAAATTAACTTTCGCTTTGAAATGTTCTATGTCTTAACTGCCAGTCTATTATTTCTCTTCATACTTTAAAATATTTTTTTTTATTTTTATCGGAGGTCAGAAAATTCAAAACAAGCGAATGTATTGGTCTGTACAGAAGACTGAAAAGGGTTGAGAAGTGGATCACTGTAAAATGAGTCATACTTTCAATTTGATTAATTTAAAGCATGTGTCTATAAAGGAAATGAAAGGTAGGTGAACTGATTGTCAAATGCTGGAAAGTCAGAAAGTGAAGAAATTCTCATCAACAGTGCGCAGAAAATCATGCTTCAAAAATTGCATCTCATTTGCATTACGGGATCACCAGTGCTCGTGGAAAGGGTTGTCCCTAACACCCACCCTTTTTCAATATTTAAAAAGATGAAAGAAAATTATGTTGTTGTTTTTTTTAATTTATAATATCTGGCAACTTGATATCTTAGTTTCTATCTGAAAATCAAATATAATGATATCAATCATATGCAATTTCTTTTCACAGTTGTTTCATGAGTATAGATGAACGAGAGGCCCATGGGCCACATCGCTCACCTGAACACATGGGCTAGTCAAAAACACAAATCAGCTCAGAATTGAAAAGTTTACTCGTTCGGGAGGGGGTTTGACTTTTTTATTACTTGAGAATGTCACTTAATCAATAAAACTTACATGTATAATTTAGTCATACTTGAGAAGAAGAGATTTGATGTATATTTCTATGTAAAGATTATTATTATGGCCCTACCATACCCCCAGTGGTCATGATATGAACAAACTTGAATTAACTCTAACTGATAATGTTTTCCATATTCATATCATTAATCATTGTTTTGCTGATCTTGAGAAGAAAATTTTAAAAAGATTTTTCCCATGTATTCCTGTGTAAAACATTGATCAGCCATTGTGACCCCGCCCATTCCTCGGGGATCATGATTTGAACAAACTTGAATCTACACTACCTGAGGATGCATCCACATTAGTTTCGTCTTTGCTGACCCAATGGTTTCGGAGAAAAAGATTTTTTAAGATTTATCCTTTATATTCTTATGTAAAACTTTGATCAACCATTGTGGCCCCGCCCATTCCTCGATCGGAGATCATGATTTGAACAAACTTAAATCTACACTATCTGAGGATGCATCCACATGAGTTTCGTCTTTGCTGGCCCAATGGTTTTGGAGAAAAAGATTTTTTAAGATTTATGCTATATATTCCTATGTAAAACTTTGATCGTCCATTGTGGCCACGCCCCACCCCTGGGATCATGATTTGAACAAACCTGAATCTACACTACCTGATGATGTTTCCACATGAGTTTCATCTTTCCTGGCCCAGTGGTTCTGAAGAAGATTTTTAAAGATTTTCCTTCATATTCCTATGTAAAACTTCGATCAGCAATTGTGACTCTGCCCTTTTCCGGGGGTTATGATTTGAAGAAACTTGAATTCACACTACCTGAGGATGCCTCTACATGAGTTTCATCTTTCCTGGCCCAATTGTTCTGGAGATGAAGATTTTTAAATGATGCAATTAAGTTTTCATTAATTAATAATTATCCCCCCTTGCTTGGAAGAGGGCTTGGCCCTTCATTTGAACAGTGTGACTAAAATGGGTAGCGAAACCCGGGCCGGGCCGGGAATTTCAAAACTGAGAGCCGGGTTTTTGATAATTACAAGATAAATACTCATTCTTTCTTCATGAAATTTACAGACATAGTTTATAAGTATAGGTTTTGCCTTCGCTGAGAATTTTAAGTCAAAATGTTTTGTTTTTCGATGATTATCGCCGATTGTCCTTTTCCAGGTGACTAAAATGGGTAGCGAGCCCGGTTTACTCATTTTGGCGATTTTAAGCTTAATGCATCGAAAGTGTTTGTGATATTTGCATTTAATGGTTGTTTATTAACTTCAAATAGTTAAATTGTTCAATCATTATGAAATTAAATGTCAATTATTAGGGTTTTTGTCATTTTTCATAGACCCGGGACAGGTCAAAACCGGACGCGTTTGCCCGGGACAAATTATATAATTCCGGATTGCCACAGAAATAATGAAGATTTTTTTCAGTCCCTGACCTAGATACATCTAAGAAATAAATTGGAAAAAATTAATATAAATATGCAAATAAAAAAAGAGTCATTTATATTTCAATTATATGTCATTATCTGATAAGTATTTCGGAAATAAAAGGTTTTTCCCGGGTGAACGTGTCCGGTTTCGACCAATCCCGGGTGTTCAAAAAATGCGTATATTTTCAATAATCGTGATTTATTATTGCAACAGTTAAATGTTTTAGGTAGTTTAAGTTCAATTTCAAAGATCCAAATGAAATAATTGTAAATATGCTGCCGAAATTAAGTTTAAATCGCCAAAATGAGTAATCCGGGCTCGCTACCCATTTTAGTCACTTGGAAAAGGACAATCGGTGATAATCATTCAAAAACACAACATTTTGACCTAAAACTTTCAGCGAAGGCCAATCTTAGAATAATAAACTATGTCCGTAAATTTCATGAAGAAAGAATGAGTATTTATATCGTGATTATCAAAAACCAGGTTTTCATTATCGAAAATCCCGGCCCGGCCCGGGTTTCGCTACCCATTTTAGTCACACTCAAAAAATTCTACTTTCTCTTTTGGTTTTTAAAGGCAAAAACGCTTGGATTAACTTGCAACCATCATGATCAGCCATTCAGCCTTTAGTCACTATATTTTTTAAAATTTTGATTTGATGCCAATGAAATGCTTTTTAGGAAGTTTAAACAATACTTGTATAGTAATCATTGTTCACAAGCACCCCTTAAATTATAATTTTATTTTTAGAAGTTTTTTTCAATAATTTACGTACAATTGATTTCAATTGAACGCATGCGAACAAAAAACAAAATTTCAAAGAGAAGTTGATTACAGAGATGGCAACTAGATAATTTAATGTGCACTATGAACAAATCATTTCATCTACCTAGTATGTAAATTAAAGGTGGGTGTCAGAATCAAGTGAAACCTCGTATGTTTTAACGTTACAAACTTACAAGTCACATTTGCAAATTTGTCAATGTGGTCTGACTTCAATAGTGGTTACTAACTATGTTTGTACATTAAACATTTATCATTTTAACCATATTGATATAATTATTTCTAATGTTGAAAGTAGTTTCAGGTAGTTGAAACAGAAAGTGATAAAAAGTAGCTCCACATAACTGTACTCGGCTGTAGATTTGCTTTTAGCATGTTCCACTGGATGATTCTTGTTTTTATTCTCTTAATTTCAAACAATCTACTTTTCCCTGTGTTTAGTAAATGTGTTATCGTACGAACTATCTAGTGTATGTGTAACCTTTTTATGTACGACTGAATATGTACCTGTTTACCCTTAGTTTTAGCGCCATACTGAATAAACGTGTTTGTGTGAACTCGGTGTTGTAATTGGCAATTAACGAACCTAGCCATCCAAACATGGTGTCAGAAGTGTTCCTAGTGTAGAAAAATGCCGAAGTTCAATCCACCTGAGTGTTTCGCCTTTACCAGGCCAAATGAATGGCCGGAATGGAAACAACGATTCACGAGGTGTGAAAACGAAGCTGACTGACGAGGATGAACAAATACAGATAAGTTCATTGATATACGCCATGGGACCAGAGGCAGAAGGAATATTCAAGTCTTTCGCACTCGCTAATGGTGACGAGAAGAAATTCAAGAAGGTACTTGAAAGTTTCGACAAGTATTTCGTTCCTAAGAAAAACGTGATTCATGAGCGCGCCAAATTCCACATCCGGAGCCAGCGCCAGGGAGAGTCAGTTGAGGAATTCGTCAGAAGTTTACACGAGTTGGCGGCACACTGTGATTTTAGAGACAAGAGCGACCAAATCCGAGACAGGTTAAGTATAAATGTCGTGGGCATTATCGACAAGGAACTTAGCGAGAAACTACAGCTTGAATCTGAACTTACACTCACAAAAGCCGTCGAGATGGCACGTAATTCAGAGTTAGTGAAACATCAGATTAAAGATTTACAATCTAAGAACTTAGATGCAGTGAGATTTAGGCAGCAGAATGGACAACAATCTAAACACAATTACAGCAGACAGCCTAAAGCTAAGGAAAGAGTTTACAATAACTGTGACAAGTGTAATATGAAACACAATCCTGGAAACTGTCCGGCATCAGGGAAGAAATGTCTAAAGTGCGGGAAAAAGGGACACTTTAAGATAGTTTGTCGAAGTAAACCGAAACACCTAGAGGAAGTTCAAGGTGCATGTTCATCACCTGATTCATTCTACATGGGTTCTATTGACCTGAGCGATTCAGATAATACAGACGCATGGACAGTAAAGCTGAAGGTGTGTCGGAAGTACATTACATTCAAGATCGACACTGGTGCTGACACATCCGTGATAACTGAAGCGACGTACAATTCATTGCCAGTAAAGCCCAAACTACAGGCTTCGACAAATCAGCTGTACAGCCCAGGAGGATCAGTGGAGTGTAAAGGGATGTTTGTTGCTAAGACTTTTCACAAGAACAATGAGTTTCATTTTCGAGTGTACGTGCTTAAGAACTCTAACAGTGGTTCTAATTTGCTCAGTCGAAGTGTCGCACACCGTATGGGACTCGTTATGAAAATCGAGGAAATTCGGGATGTGTTTGGTACACATGGATGCGTTAAGGGCCCACCCGTCAAGATAACACTTAAGCCAGGAGCCACACCATATTGCGTTACGACAGCTTTTTTGGATTCCATTTCCATTGATGCCGAAGGTCGAGGCCGAACTAAACCGCATGGAAAACGCTGGAATCATTGCGTGTCACAGAACCGACAGATTGGTGTGCACCCATCGTGACAGCATTCAAGAAAAACGGGGATGTTCGCTTGTGTGTGGACCTTAAGAAACTAAACCAGGCAGTCAAACGTGAACATTATATGTTACCCAACTTGGACGACATTGCCCCAAAGCTGTGCAAGGCTACTGTCTTTTCGAAACTTGATGCTAGTAGTGGGTTTCACCAGATACCTCTAGATCCAGAGAGTTGTCACCTAACTACCTTCATAACTCCGTTTGGACGGTACTGCTTTCAGCGGGTTCCATTTGGTATTACGTCAGCCCCTGAAATATTTCAGCGTCGTATGTCGGAGATATTAGCAGATATTGAAGGAACGGATGCCATAATGGACGATATCATCATATATGGGAGTACGGTGGAGGAGCATGACGAGCGTCTGGACCGCGTGCTGGACCGTATCAAGGAAGTTGGTCTTAAACTCAATAAGAAGAAATGCGAGTTCAGGAAACAGAGCATTGAATATTTTGGACACATGATTAGTTCAAATGGTATCAGTCCACGTCCAGAACGTGTGCGTGCAATACGTGAGTTGGCTGCACCAACAAATGTGACTGAACTTAAGAGAATTCTTGGAATGGTGAATTATCTTGGTCGATTTTTACCAAACCTTTCTACGGTTATGCACCCCCTTACTGATCTTTTGAAGAGTGACTCAGTATGGATATGGGACAACCCCCAGGAAGAGGCCTTCAAAAGAGTGAAGGATATGCTAACAGAAACACCTGCATTAGCTTTCTACAATTCTTCAAAGCCAGTAGTGATTAGTGCAGATGCCAGCAGTTATGGCCTAGGAGCCGCTATATTTCAGCAGTTTGATGGTCAACTTAAACCTATTGCGTTTGCATCGAGGACACTGTCACCGGCAGAAACCAAATATGCACAAATCGAGAAGGAGTGTTTAGCATCTGTATGGGCCTGTGAGAAGTTCGAGCGCTACATCATTGGACTCGACTCATTCAAGCTCATCACTGACCACAAACCTCTCGTCCCGCTCATTAACACTCAAGCTCTAGATAGGACACCTGTGAGATGTCAGAGACTTTTGATGCGTTTACGCAGATTTAATCCAGTAGCAGAACATGTGCCAGGGAAAAATCTCGTGGTTCCCGACACTCTTTCCAGGAGCCCGCTAACTGGAAACACTGAGGATACAGAGGAGGAAGTCAATCTCTATGTAGACTGTGTCGTAGAGAATCTTCCCATATCAGATCAACGACTAGAGCGCATTCGATTAGCTACAGCAGATGATCCAGAGTTGTCTGAAGTTTTGAAGAAGACTCAGAACTGGTGGCCAGACCATGAGAGATCACTGAAAGCAGAAATCCGACCATACTTTTCCGCAAGATCCGAACTGTCTGTCTGGAATGGAATTCTAATGTACAGAGACCGAATTGTTATTCCGGAGGCTCTTAGACCAGAAACATTGCAAGACATACATTCAGGACACTTAGGTCTGAACAAGTGCCGTGAACGCGCACGAGGAGCTGTATGGTGGCCAGGAATATCAACCGATATAGAGCGTACCGTAAAGTCCTGCGAATTCTGTCTTGTTCATCAACCAAAACAGAACCGAGAACCGTTGAAGACTACAGTCCTTCCAGATCGTCCGTGGCAAAAGATAGCTGCAGATCTGTGTGAGCTGCAGGGCAAACATTTCCTAGTAGTTACAGATTATTTTTCTCGTTACCTGGAAATTGCGTATCTGGATTCTTTGACTAGTGCTCACGTAATTGGAAAACTCAAGAACATATTGGCTCGTTGGGGTATTCCAGAGGAATTGGTAACCGACAACGGCACCCAGTTTACATCAGACTCTTTCAAGAAGTTCGCAGCTAAGTACGGATTCGCGCATACAACCACCAGTCCTCACTACCCGCAAGCAAACGGCGAGGCCGAGAGTGCTGTTAAGACTGCGAAGCGTATACTACAGCAGGATGACATCTTTGTTGCGCTTATGGCGTACCGTTCAACACCCATCTCAACCACAGGAGTCAGTCCAGCCGAACTCATTATGGGACGTAGAATTCGAACCGTTGTTCCAGTCAAACCGTCTTCACTAGCACCAAAGTGGCCGGACTTGGACCAAGTGAGGAGACAGGACGCACGAACGAAGGAAACTTCGAAATATCATTATGACAATCGATTTGGGGTTAGGAAACTCCACCCGCTTGGACCCGGAGACCAAGTTCGCATCAAGACCGACAAAGAGAAACAGTGGACAGATAGTGGCACAATCACTAGCGCAAATTACAAAATTCGATCATACCTAGTGGAAACCGATCATGGAACATTGAGGAGAAATCGGAGGCACTTGCAGCATACTGGATACGTGAACACCGAATTGCCACATACCGTAAATGTGCCGTATCCGTTAGCCGACAGTAAACCAAGTGTTTTGTCTGACGTTGAGCCACCCTCTGAGCCGCCTAGCCAGGAAGTTGCATCTCCTTCCGTGAAGTCCAAAACCGTAACTCGTTCAGGACGCGTCATTCACAAACCCATCAGATTCAAAGACTACGAATGAACTTTTGTGAACTCTTTGTGTTATAATGATCTGATTTGTATGTAACAAGTAATGCATGCAAGATGAGTTTTATTTGTAGCTTATGTCTTATTCTAGTCATTTTCTGTGAAATCCTAGTCATAAACCTTTAGAGGGGAGATGTTTAGTAAATGTGTTATCGTACGAACTATCTAGTGTATGTGTAACCTTTTTATGTACGACTGAATATGTACCTGTTTACCCTTAGTTTTAGCGCCATACTGAATAAACGTGTTTGTGTGAACTCGGTGTTGTAATTGGCAATTAACGAACCTAGCCATCCAAACACCCTGGGAGAAGGAAATTAAGGGAAACTTTGACTACAAATATGCTTGTCAAAATGAGATGTACCAGCAATATTTTTAATTTTTTTTATTTAGAGGTGTTGACGATGTTTGCGTCGAGCAGTCAGTTTAAACACTGGATGTTCTGTAATGAGGCAGAGCTTCAGTCCCTCAGACAGGAGGCTAACGAGAGATACTTAGAGGAGTATGGGGCCAAAATGTCGGTAAAGATTTCATTTAACTCTGTTTATCACTTGATAATTGATCTATGTAATTAAGGAAATTTGCACTTGTACATGCTGCTTAAACATGTTCATGTTGACGGAGCTGGTTATATCAACTAGGATTTTTATTGTCGAATGAAAAGCCTGTTAATTTTGCATTGTTCTTTTATTGACTTATTCATTAAAGGAGTAAAAAGTTAACTAAGTTGAGGATGCATAAGTTCTTCTCAAAATATTATCAATTAGCTAGAACATTTACTGAAGTTTAATTTATTGATTATGATTCATGAGTAACATTTATCTCATTATTTATTCTGATTCCAGCCGGAACAGAGGAAAGCCTATTTTTTGACACCCTCTGAGGAGAGACATCTTTGCCGCCATTTTGAATACGTCCTTAAAGAGTTCTGTAGTCGGTTCCAGCCTCCTATGCCTAAATATGTCTTGGTAATGCTTAATCCTCATCTTTATTCTTTAATGTTGAAGCCAGTCCTTCAACCCAGAAATTTCTTGACAAGCCTAAAAAATGTAACCTCCTTTACCAAGCATGAAAAACCTATTTCATGGTGGTGATGGTGGTAGTGGCCCCCCCCCCCCCCCCCCCCCCCCCCCCCTCTTGATTTCTGCATGGAATTAATTGCCATTGTCTTTGTAAACGTTAACTTAATATTTAATTATAGAGAGGATAAATAAAGTATTTCAATTGTAGACTCGGTTCATTTTCATATAGATCTGCAGTGCAACATGTTCACTATGAAGAGAAAATCAGATGAGTTAGAAAAAGAACAACTATATACATATAATACTTTGTATACACAATTTTTTACAAACACATGGATACTTATTTATCCATTTAAACACCATGTCATATATTTCAGGGTACAGCTCTTTGTTATTTCAAGAGATTCTACATCAACTGCTCAGCTATGGACTATCATCCTAAGGATGTCATGTAAGAGATATTGATGTGATAGAAATTGATTTCAGAATTTATAGATTGGTGATTAACATGTTCATACTTACAGGCTATATATAACCTATAGATTCTTAAACACTTTATATTAAAATTTTTAAGCTGCAGAGAATTTGTTCAATGACAGAAGATTTCTGAATTTTTGCCACAATTTTAGTTTTATTCTTGTGTCAGAAATTTATATAAATTTCTCATTTTTTAGATTAAATTACATGAAGCCTCCCATGTTAATTTCAATAGTCCTTGCCCACTGATATCAGACACAAAGACAGCCGCCTGAGATTTACATGCATATTAGGCCTCCTTAGCTTCTGACCTTTGATATTAGTGAAATTCACATTTGGTTGAATTACTGTAAACCAAGTTTTATTTCAAAATGAGAAATAGCAATGAGTTCTGCGACCAACTTTAACTCACAAATATTATTTGCTGGGAACCCATTATTTTGCTTAAAATTTGTAGAGAATGTTTCCTTATTTGGAAACATTAATTGTTGCAAATTGATTTCAAACTGATCGCGAATAAAAAATGAAGTGAATAATAGTTGGTTTACAGTACATGTATTTAGAAATCAATTCACCTAATTTTTAATGAGTTAACAATGAGAAAACAAGTAGAAATGTAAATATTTGCTGATCATATCAATTAATACAATATGTTTATTATTTTAAATGTAGGTTGACCTGTGTGTACCTGGCCAGTAAGGTAGAGGAATTCAATGTGTCGATAAATCTGTTTGTGGGGAACCTGAACCACCGGTCAAAGTTCGCCAACATCATAAAACCTTTGAACTCTTGTTGATGGAAAAACTCAACTACCACCTACTGGTTCATAATCCCTACCGACCTTTGGAGGGGCTATTTATAGATCTCAAGGTTAGAGGTCAAGTACATGGATCTTGTCAGTTTTTTTTTTTATCAAAAAGATACAGTTTACTTTGTTGTTTGCTAAATATATTGTTCTAAGAAAGTGATGTGGAATGTCCAAATTAAAACTGAAGATGAACAAAGCGTAAGGAACTACTTCATAATTATTTTGTGCAGAATTTGCAGTGAAGAATCATTTTTAACATTTCAGTATTCATGTAGGTCCTACATGTTTGTGTCAAATCTTTTAAAAAGGTCATTTATTGCACTGAAATGGCCTAAAATTTAAGTGCATTTGCAAACAGTTCACTTCAAACTTGCATTAAGTAGAACAAAAACTGGTATAAATTCATGAAACTTTAAAACTGTTCATATGACATATTGAATAGGGAAAATGTTAAATCAGATAATTGGCTTTCAAATTTGTTCTGAATGACCCAATCATAAACGAATAAACGAGTTATATGTACCAGCTAAAATAAGTTGATTATTTCGATAAAAACAATGGGGAACTCAATTTCACGACTCTCTTTATATTCATTGAGACCATACACGATAATGCTTATGCATTGCTGCAGTGAGTGTATTTTTGTCAATATTGACTACAGTAAGTAATGTGACCTAGTGTCCTCGGTAAAAAATAGAAACCACTGTACGTTTCTAACAAAGAACGCATTTTTCCCCAAACTCTGAAATAGGGGATTTATATATATATCTGTCCGTCCGTCTCTATCTGTTACACTTTCGTTTTAAGGTATTTCGAAAAGTCTTTGAGCTTTTGCAATGAAATTTTATACCACAAATACGGCATGAGAAAGATCCCTATTGATTTTGAGGTCAAAAGGTAAAAAGTCAAGGTTGTAAATCCGTGCATTAATTTCTGTGTTGCTATATTGAGCTTTTGCAATGAAATAAAAAACTTGTTATGGTCCCGCTTGCCCTTCACAAAGTATCCCGGCCCATGTTTTCCCCAGTTGGAAATTGTTGGTATAGAATATACTGAAAGTTTTAGAGTTACTCCCCGTTTGTATGAAAAGTACCACACGAAGAGCACATGTACTTTAAGTATGAACCCCCTTCTTTTCCCTTTGTTTTGGAAATTTGGTGTCGTGTCACCTTTTTTCTATAATTTTTGTACTTTAATAGGCATAAAATATGCACTATTATCGATAGTGTAACCCCTTTGCCTCTATGAGCTGTTTTGAAATGTATAGTTTTCTACTGATACAGTAAAAAAGATCTATACATGTATACATGTATATATATGCATACTGGCATTTTTTTTTATTTGCTTCAGTATAAACATTTAATGATCCTGCAAATCCGATGGAGAGTCCGCCCCCCCCCCCTCCGCTCTGCGCATGTTCTTTTTCTTCCTAAAGCGAGGAACACAAACTATAGTATCTGAACAAGTCTATTTTCCCGACACGCAAAATATCAAAATCATGAAAAAAACCACTAAACATTAAGATGTAAGGGATTAAAAGGATATTATTTTTCTTTCCTTCTCAATTTAAACAAAAATGGATAGTTTGAAATCAAGCAGGAGCTATATACATGTAAGACAATCCTCATAATAAGTTACAAGTAACATGATTCAACAAAACATGGTTGTTCTTTTTGTAATATACATAATTAGCATCTGAAATTAACATATATCATTCACTGTCGAGATATACATGGGATAAAAATTCGGGCAAATGCCAATTAGTGTATTTTACTAGTAACCAATAACATTGACAGCTGTCTTCTGACCAGTGAGTTTTCGTGAAGACTGCATAAGTTTTAAGGTTTTCATCATTTATCTAAGAGTGAAAACACAATTGATCAAGGAAGTTTTTTGGCACTTAAGGTAGGATTCTTCTCTGGTTTCTGACTAGATGAAACATTCAAAGTATATTTGCTTATATGTCTTATATATTTAGGTGTAAGAGATTTAAAAGACCATATTTTTCTTTCCTCATCACAATTGTACAACTTTAAATAGAAATGGTAAACTGCGTTTGAAAACTAGCAGGGACTATATTTTTGGCGGAACGGTGGCGTATGAAAAATATCTTTTTTCTGCCTCTCAAAATTATAATAGAACAATGAATTTAGTTATAATTTTTACACAATCGTAGGCTTGGAGAAATTTTCAAATGTAAGTTAAATTAACAATGAGGGACTATACTTTCAAAATATATCTAACTTATATGATTTTTCAAACAAACTAGAACTTTGTAAGGTTTTAAACGCTTCCTATCAAGGTGCAGATTTGAGCCAAAAATCCATAAAAAGAATTTTTCCTCTCTTAGTAAACGATCAAAACTTGTTGTTTTTGTATCATTTTGTACATTTATAAGACTACTTTATTATATGTGAAAATAAGAAAAAATTAAATATAGGAAGCATATGAAAATAACTAATATATCCTAAAAAATTAAGAAAAACTGAGAAAATTCGGATTAGCCAATATCCTGTTAAGTTAAATTATTTATGTAAATTTGGTAAAATCATGCTATAGACCTGATATAGTAATATGTTTTTATGCAAACAGAACAAACATTAAACTTTTGAAATAGAAGTAGGTATCACATGATTGGCAACAGTTATTTTTTATTCTAAATGTCAAGGAAAATGATAATGACCTTGA